GGGCCGCTTGGGGCCAGGAGAGGTAGACTTACCTGGAAGAGCACCAGCCTGGCTATCAGCATATCCACTTTCTTCCCATTTCCTTTTGCAGCCTCCTTCCTTGGTTCACAATGACAGTCCAACTTCTGACAGTCCTGACTGCCATTCAAGCCTTTTTGCTATTTAAGAATTTTGAGGAAGAAAACCGTCATCTCAAAATCCTGGTAATCAGAAGTGTCTGGAGATTTCGAGCTGTTAACACAGAGAGGTGGCAAAAGTATTTTCTAGGACAGCCTTATGGGCCCGAATGGCAGCGGGACTTGACATAACTGATGCCTGGGCAGGTTTCCAAAGCACAGCCGAGGTGCAGAGTAGGTGAGGGCTGCCACAAAGGCCCCAGCATCTGAAGAGGACTGCACAGTTTGTCAGAGGCTTTCAGCTCCACGCTCTCATTTAGTCCTCACAGCAACCCCATGCAGTGACGGGTGTCACTCCTCTTCACAGCTGAGGAGACCGTGGGGAGAGGAAACGTGAATTGCCCACTGGCAGGCAGGTGAGAAGAGACAGAGCTGAGACTGTCACTAGTTCTTCCAACTCCAGGCCCAGCATCTCAGGATTGTATCCCATTGGCTCTTGCACCTGTATCAGGGTCAATGGCAGGGTCAGCGGCAAATAGCAGAGGGGCCTGAAAACAGATGGGAACTCTAGAAAAGGCAAGGAAGTTGTCTCCGTCAGCTCCAGCCACTGTAACAAATACCCTCTGCTGGGTAGCTTAAATCACAGACATTTAGTTCTGCACTGGGAAGTGCATGATGAATGTGCCAGAATGGTCGAATTCTGGGGAGCACCCTGGCTCGACATCTCCTTGCTGTGTCTTTACATGGCAGAGAGCAGAGAGCGGAAGCACACACTCTCCTGTCTCTCTTTCTATGGGCACTAATCCCACCACGAGGGTTCTGTCCTCATCGCCTCATTACCTCCCAAAGGCCCCAACTCGAAAAACGATTACATTGGGGATTAGGGTTTCAGTATAAATTTGGGGAGAATGCAAACATTCACTACTTAGCAGAAGTATAGCGCCCTGGTGGCCCAGTTCATTTAGTGTAATAAACCTGGTGCTGTGCTAGGCACTGGGGATATGGCCTGAACAAGGCCATCCAGGCCCTGCCCTAAGAAGTTAGAGTCCAGTAGGGAGGCCGGTGGATAAGCAGGCAACTCCCACACAGAAGAACAAGCATTCTGGTGGAGGGACGTGCGGGCTCTGTTGGAGGGCAGGGGAGGGCACCACACCCAGATGCAGTACTGGGCCTCTTGATTCATTTTCCATATATACAAAAATGACTTAGGGTTTGCAGAATGAGTGAAAAATAAATAAATAAATAAATAAATAAATAAATAAAAGGTAGTTGCTGTGGGAGGGGATATCCAAGAAGGCTTCCCAGAAGAGGTGGACAGCCTTCTGGAGCTGGGGCCATGAAGGGTGGGTAGGATCCTGATGTGCAGAGACTTGGAGGAGAAGTATTGCAGCCCAAGGAAGCAGCATGGTCCCTGCAGAGGCAGGAAGGGGGAAATTCCTGGGGGTAATCACTCACCTTCAGAGCCTGTGTAGGGACTGTATGGGGTAGGGTAACAGGAGATGCAGCTGGAAAAGCAGATGGGGGTCAAGACGGGCCTGCCAATGTTTCGTTTTATCTTACAGGCAGTGGGGAGCTGTCAAGAGCATCTTGAGGGGGGCAGTGATACTGTTGGCTCTGCATTTCGGAAAGGTGGTTTTCAGGGCAGTTTGGATGATGCTGGGGAGAGGCTGACAGGTTCAAGGTCATTCCTGAGGAGCAGGTAGGTGAGACATGATAAGGGGATTAGCAAGCTGGCTTGGGGGCAGCACCAGCATACAAGCCCCAGTCATATCCGAGGAGAAGTACAGATCTACCTGGAGGAGCCAGGAGCCAGAGGCAAGCTCAAGGCTGGTGATGAGCCAGAGGGCAGGGGCAAGGCAGACGAGGGGACTCCATGGGAGCGCAGGGCTAGGGTGGGAAGCTGGGGGCGGAGGGTGCGAGGGCTATTGTTGGAAAGGGCTGAAGGCCCCTAATTGAATGTGGGTGTGCATGAGTGCATGTATGTGCGTTGGGCTGTACATGTGGATAATGATGCATGCATGGACGTGTCCCGGGCTGGGAGGAGAGGGCACTGGGTTAAAGGGTGACAGATCAGGAGATAATGAGGGCCCCCAAAGGCCTGGAGGGGAGACACACAGGCTGGAGCAGGTCCTAACACCCACATGGGCACTCAACCCTTGGCCATCTCTGTAGCTGTAGAAAGCAGAGCAGTGAGCTTCCCAGAACAGTTTTGTTCCCTTGGTCATGCTTTACTGGAAGGCAGTGCCCGCAGCAACTCCCAGCTGTCCAGCTCAGGAGTCCAGCCACTGTGCCCAAGGCACCTACTTAGCACGTGACACCAGAGACACAGACATGAAAACCCAGTCTTTTTTAAAAAACTTGAATCAAACTCCTTGCTGGCACTTTCCACTGATTTTCTAGAAGTTTGTCCTCTGCACTCAGGGCTGAGGAAACCAGCTTGTCTGCAGGCTGGGCATTCCAGGGGGTTCCTTTGAAAACTTCCTGGGTGTCCAGGAGCCAGCAGCCTGCTGCACATGGGACGCAACGCCAGGTGAAATCCCAGATGAAAGTGAGCGGCATCGCCAAGACAAGCCCAGATCCTTTTCAGCACAGCGATTCCTTCCTTCCTCCCTTCCTCCCACAGCTCGGCTCGAGTTTTCTGCCCAGCGGAGCTCCGTGCCCCCCAACAGGGCGACGCCGGCTGGCTGACCCCTCGCCTGCCGGGGGGTACTGTACCCACGGCCGGGGCTTCGCTATCCCTCTCCTCCCCTCCCGCTGCTGACGCACGCTTCCTATAATAAGCCTCTGTTACTTGGAGCTGGGGCGGCTCCGTAGTAAGCCGAAACCGCTACTATATTTACACCCTTTCCACATTTAGACAAAGGCTATTTTTAACAGAAGGTCTATTTGTGGGGGTTGCCCACGTCACACTGTTCACATGCATCTCACCATCCTCAGTCTGTTCTTCTGATTTCACACTTGTACCGGGCCTCTCTCCTTCTCTCTCTCCTTCTCTCCATCATTTTACTTTCATTCCTTCCTTCCTTTCTCCAGTTTCCTTCCTTTCTTTAATCGGATTGAGGTCTTTGGCAGGCTATTTGGCCAGAGCCCTTCAGGAGACAGCGAGGCCCTGTCCTCACAGAGCAGAGTGGGCAGTGTGGCCACGTGCTGGGCTGTGAACTGTTCTTGGCACCTACTGTGAGGACCAGCAGAGACCTCAGTGCCCAGGGGCTCCAATTTGGCCTGTTCTGCCTCCAGGTTTATGTGGGCAGGATGCTGGGACCATGACAGTCTGCCCTTTTCTCCTCATGCCAATCTAGTTTTATTGGAGGGGGGACGGGTGTGCACGTGTGTGTGTGTGTGTGTGTGTGTGTGTGTGTGTGTGTGTTTGGGGAGGAGTGGTGAGCGGGGTCTGAGGAAAATAAGCCAATGCGTTCATCATTCATGCAGAACACTTTTTCAACTTAAAAGTTAATTTTATCAGATTTGTCTAAGATGACAGAGTTTTTGTTTGTTTGGGTGAAAGGCGGTTTCATATTTCCTAGATGCATAATCCACTTATGAAACGGACGGGGGATGCCTGGAGTTAGCACATATTAAGTGCTTGCTGTAGTCAAGCCCTATTGGGCACCAGGGAGGTCTGGACTCTGACAGCGGAGCTAAGGGGTGGTCCTGCCTGCACCAGATTTCAGGTGAGGAGATTGAAGCCCGCAGAGATCCAGCTCTGGCCTGAATTCACTTAGCTGGTAAGTGGCTGTGCTGGAACTTAAATCTTTACAGACTGCGAGCTGGCCCCAAATCTCACACCTCCTCCATTGTTCCCTTTTCAGCTCCTAAAACATCACCAGTCTCCATTAGCACTGTTTCTGTTATTTTCCTTCCCTAAGTTCTGCTCCTCTCCTCAGCCCCCACCCCAATGAGAAAAGACCTTTCCCACCTCAGAACCCCATCTGCACTTCCTTGATCTACTTCTTCAGATTATGAGTCCTCTCAAATGTCAGCATCTAAAAAGGACACCAGAAAAGGTCTGGTGGGCACTAAAGGGTCCCAGAGAAACCCCATGTTGCCAAATCTTGTTTTTCCTCCCAACAGTAAATTGGGATTGTAGCTTCTGAGTGAAATATTTTTACTGCATTTCTGAGAGAGGAGAGCTGAGATTGGAATCCACATCAGGCTATGCTAGAAACAGAATACAGAGCCCATCGTAGGACGCCCTGCCCTCTGTGGCCTAACTTCTGAAAGTCTCGTAAAACATGTGGGAACCAAATACTTCCTGAGCCCCCATATTCAAGCCTTTAAAATTGCTGATTCTGGTTCAGACATTTCCTGGAGACTCTGATAAAAGATTACTGTCTTCTTGGTATCCTAGACATGAGGGGTCCTGAGCCCAGGAGTCTGGCAGCTGTAACATGAGGCAAGTTACATTGCTTATATTTAATTCAATGTCTTCATCCCTAAAATACAGATAATAATGCCCCCTTGCCCACTCACCCACTTCGCAATTTGCAGAGATGTTGCAATGAGAGAATGCATGTGGGCGTGCTGCTTTGAAAGTGGGCAAACGCAACCAGACGGCTAGCTGCTAGTGCTGATGTTTTCATCCTTAGTGTGGCTGTTGAGAGAGGGCTCAGGAAGGCCAGGTGATATGGACAAGGTCACACAGCAAGTAAGTGGTTGAAATAAAGGCACAATAGCCCTGTGTCCCTCAGCAAGGGGCTGAAAAGAAATTACAGAGCCAGTGGGAAGGCTCAGGTGCTGAGCTTTAGCAATGCTGGGCTGAGCTCAGTCCAGAAATGGGGACACTGATTTGGGATGAATCCCATCGCTCTCCCCAGCTGACCCTCCCTGTACCTTGGTCCCAGTGGCTTCTCAGGCGTCTCTGCAGCATGGGTGTCCTGCCTTGGCCAGAGCCGAAATCCCAGAGCAGTGAAAAACGACCCAGTGTCACGGGGCTTCTGGTTTCAGGACACACTGGAAAGGTGAGAAGGAAGCTTGTCTTCCCGTGGATCTGGGCCAGGCCTGGGTGGCAGGGCCTCCCCACCAGGAGCTGGGATGTTCCCCAGGTGCCCGGGCATCCCCAGGTCAGGAGGGCCCCCAGCACTTTTTCAAAGCGTTAGCTGGGTCAGAAAATAAATCATTTTCAGCCCTTTGCAGACACCAGATGCTTTGTTGGTGCAGGCAAAACCTGCCCTAGAATCTGCAGCCTGGGAAGGCCTTGTGCACACCTGGATTAGGGGCTAGTTTGGGGAAAAGAGGCCCCTGCTCTTTGTACCTGCCTCTTGGAGGACTTGATGAGATGACCCCCCACACCCTGACCTCCATGACTTTGACCTTCACACTTTGGCCATGCCATTCTCACCAGCCACCACTCCACCTCTCTACCCCAACCCTTATCAGATTTTCACCTGTTTTCAAGGTTCAGATATTGCTCCCTATGTCAAATTTGTCTGGCCCTCTTTTACCCAGTCAGGAATGATTCAACCCTGCTCCCTTCTCTGTGCCCTTAGTGTTCTCTGTGAACATGATAGCTGTCACAGGCTGGTCTGTGCTGGAGTTATCCTGGCACCCAGCCTACAAACAGAGGAAATGTGCAGTTCATCCATGGAATTTGAGTCAGGCTTAGTTTTCACCTCTTCTGAGGGTGGGGCAGAGCCTCTGGGTAAGAGGGACACAGACAGTGTTGAAGATACTGTGGTGCCCCACCAGCTCCCCTTTTAAGGACCGATGCACATTCCCCCACCCCCAGCTGCTGAATGTCACCTATTTGCCTGCTAATGACTCACAGCTGCCCCCTTTCTCCAGAGAATGGCTCTCAGAAGACAGAAGCTGCATCTCCACGAGGTTACAACTTTCTCCCCATACCTGCTCCCCAATCACTGCCACCACAGGTACTGACTGAGTGACACAGAAATGCAAAAGGGCAGTCCCCTCCCCTCATGAAGGGACACCTCTGCAGTGTGCTTTAGGCTCCAGAGAGTCAGTCCACTTCTACCCCCTCTCCAAGGATCAGGCCAAGGCTGGCCTTCCCTGAGATCACAGTTTAGGATGACCAGCCTAAATTTCAGTTTTAGCACTGAAATTCCCATGTCCATCAGTTTTGGGCAAATGGAGCTCATTGACTAGCTTAGACTGGGCTACCAGATTTAGCAAATAAACATGCAAGATACCCAGCTATATTTGCATTTCAGATAAACAAAAAATACATTTTGAGTATAAGGAGGCCTTATGCAAGACTTCCAACATACTTACAGTAAGAAATTACTCATTGTTTACCTGAAATGCAAATTGCCCTGGGCAGCCTGTATTTTATCTGCTAGCCTGGCCCTCAACCACATCTGTGTTTGTCTCTCTCCCTGCTCCTATCCTTCTTCCTTTCCTCTCTCCCTTGCAGATTTTTCCTGAAGAGCACTCCCCCAGTACCTAAATCCCTGCTTCAGGCTCTGCTTCTACGGAAACTGGCCTCAGACTGTTGTTTGTCCCTTTTTGCTGCCTAAGGTGGCCAGAGAAGTCCTTTCATTTTCCCTGAATGTTGCAGAATCTTTCTTTTTGGTCAGACTTCTTGGCTAGAGTGGGGGAAATCATGACACCAATTGTCACCAGCTGAGGTCTCCCAGGTCCTCACAACAGCCCTGAGTGATGGCTGCAATTCTTATAACCATTTTTAGATGAGAAAACTGAGGCAAGAGAGATACAACAGCTTACCTGGCTGCACAGAAAGTGGCAGAGCTGAAATACAGAGCCATATCTCCCTGCCTCTAAGATTCCTGCTTCATCAGTGCCTCCCAGGGAATCCAGGAGAGACACAAGAGCAAGGCTTTAGCTTTGCTGATCTACCCCCTCCTGACCCCTGCAGTGTTCGGACTTCAAGCTTTGACCTTGTCTCTTGGCACTGGATGGATAGGGCAATTCTAGGTAAGCTCTCTGGGTGACCCTGGGGGCAATTCTAGGTAAGTTCTCTGGGTGACCCTAGCCACTAACTTTACATTTGTGCAGAACTGGCTTCCCAGAAACCATAGGAAGATGGTGGTGTCCAGAAATCCATGTGGCCACAGCCCTCTTTAGGAAGACTCTATTTTCATTCATCTGTGACAGAGCTGTGTTCATGGCTTAGGGTCTGAGCCTCAATTTAACATGCTAGAACATGAGAACTAGATGAAATGGACCTCTGGGGGGCCATTGAGCTATCACCCAATAGGATTTGAAGTTTCCATAGACCTGACATTCATGTTTAGTTAAGTACTTAACCTGCTCCTGGTACAAGGTAGTGCTCACCTAACAGTGGCTGTAAGTAGTAGTATTTATCCTAAGCAATAGTAATAAGAACATCCAATGAATGAACCTGAAAACCATCATTCTCAGCAATCTGACACAAGACCAGAAAATCAAACACCTCACGTTCTCACTCATAGACGGGTGAACAATGAGAACACTTGGACACAAAAAGGGGAGCATCACACACTGGGGTCCATTGTGGGGGGCTATGGGGATAGTGGGAGGGAGAGTGGGGGAGAGATAACATGGGGAGAGATAACATGGGGAGAAGGTATAGGTGATGGGGGGATGGTGGCAACAAACCACCTTGCCATGAATGTACCTATGCAACAATCTTGCATGATCTGCACATGTACCCCAGAATCTAAAGTACAATAAAAAAAAAGAACATCCGATTCCCCAGATAACATGAGACTGATATGAATATGTCCTATAGCATACTCAACGGGCTTCAGCTTAAAGCCGTCCAAAGATGCAGTGAGTTGCCTCAGAAGCCAGTGAGCTTTCTGTCATTCACAGGGAAGAAAGGGAGGAAATTTGTTTATCTACCTACCAGTGGGAGATAATTTCCATCCGTTATCTCTTTTAATCAGATGCTGAGATGTTCCAGAAAAGGCTGGATGACAGCTTGTGATGGCGTGCCAGCTTCTGAGGGGCTGAACTAGAATGATGCAGAGGTCCTCCCAGACCTGAGACTCCAGGAGTCTTTGAAAACGCTGACATCCCACATTTATAAGACCAGTGGCCACTCTGGTGTCCAGAAATCTGGCAAATCATTCTAAAATAATGTCACAGGCTCCAACCCTGCACTTTTCAGAACTGTCCACACACTTAGACCAATCAGAGACTGGCTTGTGCCCCTGAGTTGAGGGGTGGGGACACTGACCGATGGGCCCTCAAAATCCTCCTGACCTGCAAGTTCCTGGGCATAGGAGACTGCACCAGACCCTCTTTCTTCTTGCCTGTCACCATGCTATGCCTCCCTTCTTCTCAAGCAGCTCAGCTCAGCCACAGACAGAGTCAGGCATGCTCAGTTGCCAGCCCTACAGCTGCCCAGCTTTCTGCTCCCTCTCCCACAGCTCTCAAAAGCATATCCCAGAGTCCCTGTTTCACACACACACACACACAAGCACACACACACCAAAAAAAACCCTTATGGAGTGTTTGACCACAATCACAAAATCACAGGGCTGAAAGACACTGCAAGTACCTAGCCCAAAGCTGAGCAGATCCCTTAAATCCAGGCCTCTCAAGAACTCCCCTACCAGATTCTCCATCCGCACACCTCCACAGTGGAGAGCTCGCTCCCAGCTGGTGTCACCCTTCCTAGCGTTGAACTCCTCGGCCTTTAGAAGGTGCTTCTCGTATCCGGGTACCAGGCATCCAGGTATCCAGGTGACTTCTTCTGGCTTCCTCTCATTGGACCTAGTGTTTTAAGAGATGGCACAAGAGTCTAATCTTGTTGGAAGGTGGTGTGCAAAGAGGTGCAGGAAGACACATGGGAGGAAGTAGAGAGAGATGAAGTCAGAGGTAGTGAGAAACATCAGAGAGAGAATTGGCAGGGATGTGCACAGTCTAAAAGGGACCTGTATCCCGCATGCTGACAATTTTTCCATTATGCTTTTTTAAAAAAAAACTCTGTTGCTCTTCAGCCGAATGGAAAACATGTCCATCCCAAATAACTTACTCTCTGAGAACTGCAGAATAAACGGGACCATTGTATGACCTATTGTGCTGATGAGAAAAGAGTGATCAGGAAGGGAGAAGACTCAAAACTGTGTTGCATGGAGAAGAGTTGAAAGAACTGGGTCTCTAGCCAGAAGAAGGGATTTGGCTGGTAAAGTGTTTGCCTCTGACAATCCTTCCTGGGAAAGAAGGATTGGACTGATTCTAAACAGAATGAAGAATTGGACTTAGGACCAAAGGATAAACCACCAGAGTGACCAAAAGCTTTCTACTAGATAGAGCTGTTTAACAGTTGGTAAGGTAGTGAGAAGTCCCTGTCACTGAAGGTGTCCAAGCGGTGGGGGCACTTGATGTTTTATGTCTGAGAGTCCATGAGCTTTCTTTTAATGCATGCACATCACCACCACCACCCCCAACACACACACACACACACACACACGCACGCACGCACACACACACACACACTAAAGCCTGGCCATATAAAGCCAGGTGAGGCACACGAGTGTGGGGCGTGCATCTCTCACTTTCCTTAGCTTTGGTCACCCAGAGATCTTCCCATTGCAGACTTGGTTGTCAGCAAGAAATAAAAGCCTTTCCTCTCTCCTTGGGAGGAGCGGAGCAGATTGTCTGGATCTGCTGCATACTGCCCTGGCTCTGGTCTCAGCACCAAACGCGTTCCTTCTGCTCAGTCTGTTCCCGTTTTGACAATGCAGAGGGGAGAGCTGGAGAAAGTCCCGCAGCCCAGAGCCCTGGCAGCAGAGGGCGGGGCTTTGTTGTCGGACAGGACGGATCATATTTGCATTCAAGAAAGACTAGGTGGAGCCCCTTGCTCCCAACACAGGCAGAAAGTTTGGCTGGGGCTGGCGCTGATCCTCAGGCATCTTTTGAAGAGAAAGTGCTACCTGCTGCCGTGCTTCCAGTGTTTTCTCAAGGGCAGAGCCTGAAAAAGGTTTCCGCAGGAGGAAACTTCTCTAAACCTCTCTAGCATCCTGGAGATTAAAATAAGTTGTTTTTTCTCTGCAAAAGGGATCAAGTGCTCTGCTACCTGAGGGTGGAGTACTAGGCTCTTCGCCTGATTAAGATTCGGAAAATATACTTTTTGACTACAGCATTGTATGTCCCATGACCAGCCAGTAGTGATCCATTAAACAATGTTACTCAAGGAAGAGTCACTCAGTACCCACTCTGTGCTAGGCCATGCCTCCCAGGCACTGGGGAGCAAAGGTGAGAGAGATCCAGGACTTACCCTCAAGAAGCGTATAGTCCAGTGGGAGAGACCATCACAAGCAAAAAATTAAAATCCATGCATTCAGGGCTCCAGGAGAGCTTTGCTGTGAGTGCACTAGCTGTCTGGGAGCATCTGGGATAGCGTCTGCAAAGAAAGGATGCTTGGGATGTGTTTTCAGGAATACACCGGATTTTATGAAGCCGCAAAGGGCAGGAATAGGAAGGGGTCTGTGCACGCAAAGTTCTGGGAAAGACATGGAAAAGCTTTGTTTATTTAAGGAACTATGAGACTTTTGACATGACCAGAGGCACTACTATGCAGACAGGAAAGTGCAAAGGATGAATCTAGAGCAGAGGTTTTAACCAGGGACAATTTGTATCCCAGGGACACGTGTTTGTCACAAAGAGAGGAGCAGCAGTGCCACTGGCATCTAGAGGGTAGAGGCCAGGAAGGCTGCTAAACATCCTACCATGCTACCATGTGGGCAGCCCTCACAATCCATGATCTGGTCCACAGCCTCGATAGTGCTGAGATAGAGAAACCCTGAGCATAGTAAGGTGTTTAGGACCTTCTGCCCACTGCAGAGAAGCAGCAGCCACACCAGGAAAAACGGAGCTCTGTTAGGGGCACTGTGCTTTCTGAGGGTCACACAGAGAAGGCGTAGAGGAGGGAAGCGAGGGGAGTGCTGAGCTTTCAGATTCTGCACTCTGGAGACCCCGTACCTGTGCTGCGGCCAGCCCTCCCGGCTGTATTTCCTGTACACATTTGATAAGCCTGCATCCAGTGTCTACCTCCAAATTGTTGATAAAAATATTGAACACAAAAATTTCAGGGCAAATAATGACTTAGATTCCTAAAATATCATTCAGTTTATGGGGCATTTTACATCCTTCATCTCATTTATATTCATTTTACAAAACAAATATGAAGCTAAGAGATGTTCTGCAATCTAGGAATTATTTAACTATTACATGTTCAGCTCCCATCTCTTCTCCTAGACTGGTCCCTGAGTGCTCCAAGGACCCATGCATCTAGTCGCAAAGGTTGCTGGGAGTATTCTCCATCTTGGCCTTAAAGGGCTCCCTTTCAGCTTCCCGGATTCATATCTGTGTGAAGGGCTCAGAGCAGGTTCCCTGGTCTCCTTCTGCCCCTAGCTGTGATACTCACATACCCTTCTGACTACAGGGAACCTCTCCCTCCATGAGGCTGAATTGGTAAGAGGACCTCTCATGGCTAGCAGGCAGGGACAGCTGCTCGGCTCATGTTCTCTGGCCAAGAAGCATTACTGACCCTGTGATTTGGCCCTTCATCCAAACTGGCAGATGGGTACAGGTGCCTTGCCATGATACTGCTTCCCCTCTACCAGGCATGCCTGACCATTAAATCACCCAGCAGAGGACAGCACCAGTCAGCTGAGGAGTGGGCTCTTTCCAAGTGGAACCCCAAAACACTGCTAATCTAAAATGTCACTGTTCTTAGGGACAGCACGAACGAACCACGCCAAGTCACACACTGCAGAAACACTCTCAATAATCAACACTAGGTGTTCTAACAGCTTGTTCAAGCCTGTTCATCTGTGGTTTAGAAGTTTAGAACATGGCAATCTTTTGCCCCAATAGTTCTCTGGGAACTGATTTCCCATATTCCCAAAGCCATAGCCAGCTCCCAGCTTCATCATTCAGGAAAAAAAGCAAGTGTCTCCCCTTCATCCTCCCCATCTCCCACAATACATTAAGTACAAGCCCGAGGACAAGAATCAAGAGCAATGAATCTTTATCAAACAATAAAATCCTGTCTGGTGCCAGACCTACCTGCGCCGTCCAAGCACTACCTGCCCTGTGCCCCCATTAAACCTCTTACCGTTGTGGCCGGTGGCTCCTGGGGCACTGTGCTTTCCGTGGCTTCTCCTCCCACCAGCATGGCCCAGTGGCTCTCTCCTGCTGCGGTGGTTCCATCCCTGTCCAATAACATTGCTCCTTCTCCAGCAGAGTCCAGCCACTTTGTCACAAGCTACCTCTGTGGAGAGTGCCTACCCCTGACTGCAGGGTAGGATGGATAAAAGGATAAGAAGGGGACAGGAGCAGATGGAGAAAGAAGGTGGCAAGACAGGGCAGGCAAGAGATGGTGGTGGCTGAGTCTAGGGTGCTGATTATTGAGTGAAGGGAAAGAGAGGCGTGAAAGCTGAGCCCGTGCTGAAAGGAATGTCAAAGGGAGCTCAAGCACTGGGTGAGGTGAGGGCAGAAGAAGGGTCCTTTCCAACTGTGGGACCTTTAAACAGTACAGAGGCTACACTGCCTTGGAACTGTGCCATGCCTCTGATCCTAGGGAGTAAGCATCTCTTTTGGGGTGCAGGGCAACAGCACCCATTTCTCCATGAGCTGCGTGCTTGCATTTTCCAGTGGGATGCTCTCCAGGTTCAACCAGATCCTCTTGTCTTGTGCTTGTTCATCACCTGAGCATGATTCCCTCCAGCTCAGCAGAGCGGTAGGGGATTGCGAGCTCACAGCACAGGGGCTTGACCCCGGTGGGGGCTGGGCATTGGTCCCTGGGACTCTGTGGCAGCCACACCATGTTGAGGGGCTGCTCTGCGTGAGGGGATTTCTAAAAATACATCTGTCCTGCTGCTCATGGTGCTCCTGAGTGCCAGGCAGACGGGACAGGCGTGTACAACCTGCTCCCTCCTCTGTCCCCACCGCCTCCCCACTATCTCTTCTCACCCAGATGATTCCATGAGCCACCTGCCTGCTCTCCCTCTCCCCATGGACCACCAGGTACTACAGTTACTAAAAACACAGGGTCCTGTTGGGAGACCACACCGCAGCCAAAGCCTAGTCTCATTGATTCACTCACTCATTCATTCAATCCTCAGCATGCAGCACATATACATTCAACGTGCCAATGTGGCACGCTTTTCCAAGGCCAGGTTTGTGGCAGGTGCTACAGATTGGGTGAGCGAAGGCAGACACAGAAGGACGCAGTGTATGAATCCATGCATGCAATGCTCAGGAATAGGCAGATCTACTCTGCAACAATGGAAGTCACAATACCAATCACTTCTGGGAGGGGACGTGTAGCTATTGACTGAGGAAGGGCAGGGTGGGCTTTCTGGGGTCTGGGAATGCTCTGTATCATGATCTGAGTGATAGTCTCAGGGTACGACAAACTGTGAAAATGCACTGAGCTGCACACTTGAGATCTGTGCCTTTTAGTGTTGTCGGTTAGACCTCAACTTTTTTTAATGTATATAAAATATAATTCTGGTTTTACTTTTTGGAGCTATACACATATCCATGACTTAAGACTCGAGGAGAAAACTTTCAATACCTTAACAGTGTTTGTCTCTGATTGGTAAGATTATGGTAAACTTTTAATTTCCTTCTTTATGCTTTTCTGGACTTCCCAAATATTCTACACTGAAGAGACCTTGTTTAAGTAATGATTAAATGTATTAAATGTTATTTTAAAAGTAAGAACCCTCGAGGTGGGACAATCAGCAAGCACGAGGCAGGTGGCTGTCTTCCCAGAGAGGCCAAGCCAGCTCACAAGCTTTTGTCCTCTTGGGCAGCAAGGACACCGGCTTAGGAGTCTTGTTCCAGGTCTGAGATTTCAGTGCAGCTAAATAAGGCTCTTGGCCCACTGGGGTTGGTGAGGTGGGGCTGCGGGTGGAAGCTTCGGGGTTTTCCTCTCATGCCTCAGGGGAAGGAGGCTCCAGGGCTTTCAGAGGCTTGCCAGGCCCATTCTCACCCTGGCAGCTGTTTAGACCAGCCTGACTCAGAGTCCCATGCAGTTCTGACATCTTAGGATTGGGACTGTGAGTCCCAGCCTGCCTGGAGGTCTATCTCATGGAGGGGGGATAATTTCAGGATCCTCCACCACATCCCTTCAGCAGGAAGCACATGGCAGTGTATGCAGTTTGGGGGCACAGAGAGGTAGAGTGAGCTAATGGTGCAAGTAAAAAAAAAATAGATCAAACCCTGGAAGCTCTAAGGAAGGAAGACAATGGGACATGAAGGAATCACTTGGGGGCCTTGGTTTTCCACTGGGAGATGAGGCTGTTGTGAGATTACCCTGTGAATAAGCATGTAGAAAATGCTGGAATGGGAGGCTGGCTTTGTGTTCTGGTTTTGGTGACGCTTTAGGACATGGAGACTGGCTACATGGCTGGCTCCCGGGCCTCCTGCTCCAACTCCAGTGCCCCACTTGTTCGGCTGCCACATCCCAGACATAGCAGGGGCAGGATAGATTTCCTCGTATGTGCATCTGAAGCCTGATTTCTGCCTTGGCAAAGCTATGGTGGTCATGTGATGAGGATCAGCTTCTGATTCACGAATGTATTTTGTATTTCTAACTTGGATCCTAAAAACACTTCCCTCTTCCCTCCCACCTCCCTCTCCTCTGCCCACAACACGAAGGCTCCCACAGAGATGTCATGTGATGGCTTCTCAGACTGAGCCAAGGGAAGAGCCAGTGGCCAGCTCTGCCCTGTGACACACACAGCCTCCAGCAGTCACATGGTCTCCAGCTGCCACCACCTGCCCTCTGTCCCCGGCCTGCTACCTTCTCCCTGGCAGGCATCCTGAGCTGATGCTTCCCTCCAGGCTGCAGCATAGCAGACAGTGGGACTGACGGACAGAGGGTACAGGGCCAACAGGCTTGGACAGTTCTGTTCCCAGCTGACCTCGGGGTGGGAACCCAGCCTGGAGGATCCTGGACACTACATGGTGTGCCCTGCAAGGAGGTGCTTTGCTGGCCCGATCCAGAGGTAGACGGGGCTATTAGCAGCTGGTTCCCCACAGCCAGCCCCAGCTCCACGAGCAGGGAGCCTGAGCCACAGGTGCTGAAAATAAGGCAGTGCAGGGAGCCAATGGCAGCATCGAGTGTGCCTCATGGAAAGGCTGGAAGCAGGACATTACCAGGCCTTCCAGAGAGGGAAGAGGACAAACACAGGAGGAGTCATCTGTGTACATAGTCACAAAAAAGAAAAAAGTTGAAAGTTCTCAATCAAGAGCTATTTTGCCACCCAGGGGACACTTGGTAACGTTTGAAGACATCGTTGCTTGTGTAAGACATTGTTGGTTGTTTGCATCTAGTGAATAGAAGCTAATGCTGTTGCGGAACAGCCTGCGATGCTCAGGACAGCTCCCACCCCCAACAAAGAATAACCCAGCCTCAAATGATAGAGTTGCTGTTGAGAAACCCCTACCTATAGAGAAAGCAGCCTTGCTAGGGAAGATCTGAGCAGGGCCCCATGAATAAACCCACCAGAGTGAGCTGCAGCTGTTAGTTCCAGGCTTAGAACCCTTCCGTGTCTGTTTAGTGCCCTCAAATTTGAGCTTACACCCTTGGGCACAGCCATCAAGACTTCCTGCCGTGATCTAGCCCTAGCTTACCCTTCAGCCTCATCTCCCACTCAGTTTTGGTCACACCAGACCGTCAACATCCCAAATACTCCAAGGTCCTTGCCCTTGAGGAAGAAGATTCCACACCCTGCCTGGAATGCTGTCTCTCCACTTCTGTCCCCCGCTTCCCTGTTCTGAGTCCAGCTGTGACATCTTTGAGAAGCCTTCTTTCATTGCTATCCTGCATCTTCCTTGTTCCTGGGATAGCACACAGCCCCTCTTCCATATAACATCACACAGGACAGATACTGGGATGGCTGACTTATATATCTGTCCCTCCCACCAGACTGTGGGTTCCCTCAACAGGGTGAACTTTAACAACAGAAGCCACCAGTTTCTCCTGATAGTGTGGTAGATGGGCAGATCTGGCCTCAATGGAAGAAGATACTTGGGGAACTGGAGAAAATACAGAGGGAGATGTGAAGTCAAACTGGGCCATCAGAAGAAGGTGGGAAGCAGGGGCAGGAAAGAGTCCTGAGAAACTCAGCAAATAGGGGCCTGGGAACAACGCCACAGAGGAGCAGTTGGTCTGAGAGACCAAATGGGAAGTGGTCTGCCAATTCCAGAGGAGGATCTGTAAGCTCCCAGTGCACCTCAGGGTGGGCAAATGGCATACAAAATTGGGTTTGCCACCAAAGGTTTGATAGTGATTGTTACAGATGGGGAAAATTAATCATTTATACTTAAAAGCAGCTTTGTGGAGAAGGTAGGGTAATAAGAGACATTCCCATTTTATAATTAAAGAAGCTGAGGCTTAAGGAGGTAAAGGGATTGTCCTCATATTGCCAAGCACCTCATTGCACCTCCTCTTCTCTTTGGGCTGCATCATTCTGAGTCAGCCAGGACAGGATCGGTCAACTCATTCCTGCACCATTAGTCTGATTTCCATGGGCAATCCCAAAATAAGACAAAAAAGAACAACACTCCAATGCCATTTCTGTGTGCTCGTTTATTCCCAGAATTTGCTTTGTTCTTGTTTTTTACAGCTTTATTAAGATGTAATTGACCTCTAATAAATTGCACATATTGAATGTGTATAGTGTGATTGGAGTTAACATATGTATACTCCTGTGAAACCATCACCATCATCGCCACAGCTGAGACTATAAACATGACTGCCACTCCTAAAAGGGATTATCCATCACCCTGACTCCTCTTCATTCTCCCAACAGGCAGCCCTGACCTGATTTCTATTGCTGTAGATTAACTGGCACTTTCCAGAATTTATACAAATAGGCTCATACAGCATGTATTCATTTTTGTTTGGTTTCTTTCACTCTACATAATTATATTTTGTTTGTCTGGTTTTGTTTTTGCTTTTTAGTGCTCTAGTGAGGTTAGCATAATTATTTTGAGGTTCAGGCATGTTGTTACATGTATTAAAAGTTCGTTTCTTTGTATTGCTGACTAGTATTTCATTGTATGGATGTATCACAATTTGTTTCTCCACCTGCTGCCCATGGACATTTGGATTGTTTCTAGCTTTTGGCTACTACAAATAAAGTT